ATCTGCGTCTCCGGTAGGCGGCCGGTCTTTAATGACCCCTGATTAGATTCTAAGCTACGGTCGTGCCAGTTGTTCAATACATCTTCCTTAGGTTTCTCTCCTTATTGCCTCCCGTGTGCCCTGAGGATGACTGCCTATTATGAAATTTTCGTACATCCACAGATCCTGATTATGCCCTCAAATCGTCCCGTTGATCTGGAGACGCAGCCTTTCAATCGGATTTATCTCGGTTTGCCGTATTCCGAAACTTTTCGAGGTTGGTATCTGGGATCGGACTCTTCTGATTTATATGAAGCGCTGATTAGTGTAAGTTAAGTAAAACATCGACAGAACTGAAATATTGACGACATGATTTTCGTCTGCACAGTGCGACTCATCTCCTGCACGATCAATCGATACGTCTACCTTTTGAATACGGGATTGTATGACACGGCGAACTGGAGTGGAGTACATTCTCACTGATCTCTAAAACAGTAGCTGTTTCGCCAAGCCGCAGAGCTTTATCTGAAATATTACATAATCGCAATGGTTCTCTTTGGTATGCCACCGTCTTTTGCCAAGACTTTCTGCTTTCTGCGTGAATAATGTTTTATCAGACAACACTCATGCGTTCAAATTATCATTTATTGTAGCCCTTATCATTTGCTTTGTTTCTTTTTCAGGTAGTCAGCGAAATGAGGTTGTTCGCAGTTCCGTTGACGACACCATCGATACGGTGTTGCGTCATCAGAACGTGTTGGCGGCTAACATGGCCGATCGCATTGCGCACGCCGTGTCCGCTTCGGTAGCGGCCAAGGGTCGAGGCAGGGGCAGTGGACGCGGTGTCATGCGTCGCGGCTACCGTTGTCCATATACCGTACGGGAGCAGCTTGCATTGAGACGGGCTCAGCTGGAGGCGGCCGCCGCCTCCTCAGCGAAGAATGCCTTCTCGGTGCTGAACTGCCTGGATGCCAATCGCATCCTCAATAGTAATTGCTCTAGTCAGCAAACGGCACTGGATTTGAGCAACAAGTGCCACAAGCTGGCCAACGCTGTCGATCGCCTGAGGATGAAACCAAGTAAGCGAGTGATCTGTTCAGTTTTGCTTGAATTTTGCTCTTTCTGTCATTGTTGTTCTTTTCCTGATCTTCATTCACTGAACGAGGAGAAACGTTAGTTACTTATTTTTCATAAGCAGGAATATTTCTTGCATATGCTGAAGTATGGATTGTTTCGTTTATTAAAGCCAAAATCTGGTGTTTGTCTTGCAGAAAGAATGCCAATTGGGAGCAGTGATAGTGATAGTGTCGTGGCTTAAATCTTTTGCACAAAAAGTCGTTGATTGGAGCTAATTTTTTAAAATAAATTTTTTTCGAAGTGAATCACAGAGAACCAATATTTCTAAGTTCGGATGGTGTTCTTGTGGTTCATACTACCACGTTATTACAGTATTAATTGGTCGAAGATGTGTAGGGAAAAAATGTTGTTGCGTTTGTGAGATCATCACTTTGAGTCATTTGCATCAGCTGAACATGTCGCTACTCTCCAAAAACAGATCTCCCTCGATGTTTTAACTCGTTGCATCTAGTGGGTCTTCTCACCAACGTCAGCCGTGTTAAGACGGTGCAAAAATCGCCCATGCGAGAAACTCATGGGCTTGAGTAAATGGATTTTGCGCATCTAACTTGTCTGCCGTAGCCTTGTGCTTCTGTTTTGTTCTCTTGCGTTACAGTCCTCTCTGGTTTCATTGTAATTAGAATAAATTGTATGCATCGCATCTTTTACTTATGTTCATTTTTTATCCTGGCACAGCATCTGCCTTGTCTAAGTTCTCTAAGACACTCGGGCATTTTTCCTTATATGATTTTTGAACTTTAAATTTGTAGTAAGTTTCAGCTTTTAAGGATAAAAGCAAACAAACTGTCGTTGTCCTGATCAAATCGATGAAACTGTGCTAACTGGATTTTCCATATCCAGTTTTACTGAGTATACATCTGTGTCTTAATGTCAAGAAATTGAGGGAGAGTGATTCTGAAAGTTCCGGTTGAGGTTTCGAATTTAGCATGGTGGTCAAAAATTTAGCCTGTTACCTTTTCTTAGGGGTGGATTCCAGAGGCATGACAGGTACTGGTACCGGAAGGAAGGCTGCTCAAATTGGTACTCTTATCCAGCCGTATTCTAGATTGCAGTTGTGAGTCGTGTAGTTGAGTAAAACTTAATGGTGATGCAGTCTTTCATTCTTGCTTCGCTAACTGCATGTGAATATTGATATAATATTATTGGAAAAGCGGCATATTAATTGCGACCGCTTTGTTGATGTGTATCTGATTTGATTGTTTGCACTTATCACGTAGTCCGCATAGTTGCGTATCGTTTAAAGCCTCGTTAATCGTCTTATGATAGATAAAAGTGAAAATGTCATATTTTTTAGGTGTTTCACAAAGTCCTGAACATTTGAGCTTACTTCAGAAGAGCAGTACCCGCCCTACTCGTATAGGTACTTCTAGTATTGGTGCTGTGACGTTGAATATGGAGTATAAGGATGTTTCGTAGACCGGAAAAAGGTGGCCACTGTCAATATTGATTTGATAAAGTTGCCGTTGTCCCGAGGATGGCGGCGCGAAACGACAGTTCGTAACATATCGGCCACCGGAGTGCGGGGTGAAGTCATGTACTATGGTCCTTGTGGCAAGCGCATGTGTTCGTACGCTGAAATAATCAAAGTAAGTTGCGATCTATTGTTTTGGAACGACTTAATGTTTTTTAGATATTTGAAATGGTGCATTTACTGGCGTATCATAGGAGTCGATGCAATGATTTAAAACATTTAAACAGTCGTTTTGCTGTTCAGCTCAAAATATGGAGATTAACCCATCGGTGGGAATTAAAGCAAGTTTTACCCACTGACCAGAATCCCCGCCATTAGAGAGCATCACACTTGTAATCGAGGCTTCGATTCCGGACCTGATTATTCTTTTTTCTTCGTAAACGTATGTAAAGTAAATAAACGCGTATCATTTTACGAGAAAAGAAACGTAAGACTGCACCCTGTACTTGTGATATAGCTGTAGATATTTCCTTTAAATAATACTATTCTCCATGATGGCATTAAAAATGAGATCAGCGCTGTCCTCTGCTCCGTGACTAAACGTATCACACATGCTGTCCGTCATGGAAGTGTGAGGATATTACCATACATCCCAACGGCTACAAACGTTTCTTACCCATAGAAGGTGCCTGCTTGATTTTACTTTATTTTTCCTTGATAAGGGACCATATTAATTTGTCCATATGGTTGTGCTTAAATAATGCATTCGCTGTATCTTTTTTTGTTGGTGCAGTGCTGATTTCAGTTTCGATTTCCATCAGCCGGGAGAGCTTGATTCTTTGAAGCCGGTGGCTGCAGCTAGGCTACAATTAAGGCATGTTGTCTCATCGTTTCTTGTCATGAAGTGATCATCGTTTATCTCTCTCGGATGTAGAAAGTCAGAAGATCCGATAGGGATTTAACGCTCGATCTCTGGCTGGGGTCGGCTTTACCGATAGACTTTCTGCTGTATTTACCGGTTGGTTAATATTTCGGCGCTGTTCATCTGTCACAAGACTGGAGCTGGTGCTGACCCAGACCGATAGCCTAGGTAGGGGTTGTTTCGAGCAATGCTACGACATGTTAGAATAGAAGCTAACGAATTAAGAAAGCAATTGACTCACGTCCACATTTATTTGCCATGATCTCGTTTATTGGTGAGGACAAACATTGTATGTTACCATGGTTCTTTTTCTGATGTCATCTCGTATTTTAATTGTAGTTCCGTTCTTCATATATCGAGTTATTTATTCAAGGTAAAGGATAATGATTTAATTTTTGTTTTAGTATATACAGAGAAACCGACTGAAGGATCTCGCTGAACGGCATTTTAGTCTCAGCTCTAAGGTTATCGCCGGCGAGTACCTCTGTTGCAAGGAAAACGGCGACAAAAGCGTAATACTCAAGATTATGCTCAATCTAACGATCGTACAGTTGTATAGTCATTTCAGGTGCTCGTGAAGCTTAGCGAAAGTGAAATTTTATACGTGATGCAAATGATCGATTCGGCCTTGAGAAGAGGCGTTCTGAAGAGCCCTGATCCCCTACAAGAATCAGAAAATAACAGAAGCAAAGCTCTGGCGTCGTGCTGGTCATTTTCTTCAGCTAGTCGTGGTAAATATGTAAATTCGTTTTTCACAGTCACCTGTTACATGATTGTCTGATCAAGAGGTTGTTACCTCTTCACTCATTGATGGGTTAAGACTGTGACTTGCTGTTACGTTATTGTTAGAGTATTGTCCTAAGAACAGATTTTTCTCTAAAAAGTATCTTTTTGAAGATAAGCCGGTAACCACTATTGACACTGCCAGATCTAAAAACTGCTGTACTTTGAGCATTTCTCACGGTCCAGCCGCCTCCCCAAAGCCATATTGCAGGAAATTACCTAATGAGGGCCGATAGACGACCTAGCTTTCCATTGAAGAAGACTGTCAGCAGTAAAAAAGTTTTCCTTCCATCTACGACGTTTATGTCTCCTACGAAAATTCGGTCATGTTGCATGTTTGTGATCATTAGCAAATTTATTTTAAGATGGAGAAGATGTCAAATTAAAATTAAAAGTGGTACCTTAGTTGATAAATATACTGTATTTTTTGTTCTTCCATTTTGGTATCATTTTCTGTTCAGAGAGTGACGGCATGATTGAGAACTTCACGATGTTCTTGCCGGTATTTTCGTTGTGTAATCGAAGCGTTGTTTGGTGTTCGAAATTTTTCTGCCAAAAATTTTCGTTTCCTTTTCGTTCATATGAAAGTTACCAAATAGGCAGTTTTTGCTCTTGGATGTTTATCAAGACTGCGGATATTCGTTAATGAGAGTTTATGAGAATCACTGCTCTTCTCTGTTCTGGACTCTCGCATAGATAACCTGCGGGAAATCCTTTCCTCCTAAACAAACTTTTCTGCGTAGTTGAGGTTTTAGTAACAGTGTATTTTTAAAATAAGCACCGACTTAATGTTATACGTGTCTGATGGTGGACAAATGCCCTTGAGGCGTTCTATGTGTTTGCTACCTTAAGAATTTCAGACACTATAATCGCAGTAGTCTTCTTATCAGAATATGGATCGGTTATCAATGTTGTTTCCCCATTGTATGAATCAGACATTAATTTTTGTCGCTTTTAAGAATTATGATCTCCACAGTGTACCCTCTAAATGGCATCTGGAATTTTAGGCTCGATCATATCTTCATCTAGCTTGCCAAACGTCTGCCATGACGGTGACATTGGCGCCGCGTATTCTATGGTATAGCACTTATGAGTGTTGGAAAGATTGGAAATATTTAGCTGATCGCTCTTTAGGAAGACCACGGATCCGTCGACGAACGCAAAACAGCTCAGGAAATACTCAGCGACTTTTGTGCAAATAAAGTAGCTATATAAGCTAATTCACAAGCTGTTGAGAATGATTGTCATTTTTGTGTTTTTAGCCTCTGTACGTGTCGAACAACTTGAA